CTCCTCTATTTCTTTTACGGTAAGTTGGAAAATGCTGTAAGGTCGACCAGACAGAATTTCGGTATCAGAAATCTTGGAGGACAGCCATGTTTCGGTAATAAAGACAAGTTCAGGGTTGTGTGTATCAACGAAAAACTGTAACTGATAAAGTTTGTTGCCTAAGCTTCTTGAACTTATAAGAAAACTCTTGATTGTCTGCCGTGTACCGTGCCGAGTTACGCGTTTTCCGACATCCTAGATTTGCGGAGCTCGTCAACACGGCTTAACTCACCGCGGTACACAACCCACTGTCGATGACCCAGTTGCTTATTCCGAGCCCTGCACTCTTCCCTGAGGTGGAACTCGCGATCACGCTCTTCTTTGGTCAAACTCCGGCGAACAAAGACATTGGACCAGCTCGAGCTGCGCAGACGATGGCTGTTGGAGATAGCTGTGATCCAATGACTTTTCGCCGGCAGTACCAGTTTCACTAGGCGTGGATGGGGACCTCCTGGTTTATCGGAGGATAGTAGAAAATTGGAGTTTATTTGGACAGCAGGAAAGAAAATGCGACCGCACTCGGCAACAGACAGTGATAATTTCGCATACGAGATGCGCCAAACGTGTTAGGGAAACAGAACAGAAATACGCAACACAGAAAATTCATAAAATTTCATTATCGCCATTACACATACTAGATGTCATACTTGCATATAAATAACATTGAAGTGAAACGAAATAAAGATGCTTCCATTGATGCCATTGTTGGCTCCAACATCATCAGGGGGCGTAAAAAGTAGTCAGCTTTCACTCACACCTCCGACCACTGCAGCTAGTTGTAGAAAGAAACGACGATCGCCAAAGCGATCGCGAGTGGAGAGGCGGTGTTTGCAGAGCAGGCTGCCCACAGAGAAGTTCCGTAGCGACATAATATCAAGCAAAAGTAGATGTACATGATATTATGAAGTGCGTTTCGACATCTAGTGTGTGAAACAGTTTCATAATCAATCACTGGCCTTTTTATCACTATTCATCTACACAATCCATCATTCATTCACATCTTCTTCTCGCAGTAAAGAAAAAAACTGGGCTCTGCAACATGCAAAGTAACCATAACAAAAGCAAACTGAAGGTGAAGGCAACGGAAGATAACTAAAAATCTTGTATATTTAGTGAAGACAAAATGCTCACCTCACTGACTTCATAACGGAAGACTGAAGAAATAGGTGAACTTGAAATCTCCTCAGGTAACAGCTGCAGCCATCGGACCGTTCAGCAGAAGATTGAATTTTGCATCTTTGTTGAATGTAGTTTTTTTAAAGGCATGTAGTCAGAAACGAAACTGCTCGCACGTCCATGTGCGGGTCGGAAGACCCAGTACTTGTTGCTCTCAGTTCGGTCTCCATGCGCGACACTCGGAAGCATAAGACCTCTAGAAACTCCGGTAAAAGAGGGTTTTCAGACAAAAAAGACTTAGCCTATCGCTATAGCTGGGAAAGGAGTGATGAGAATGCGTAAGGCTCGACTTGGATCTATACATAAGAAAGCCTAGTGAAAATTCGTTGCATTCTTTCAATCTCAGCTCGGCAGGCATTTTTTTGTTTGAGGTCTCCATACCTGACAACCGGCAGGCATTTTTTGTTTGAGGTCTCCATACCTGACAACCGTATTCAAGTTGTGGGAGCACTTACGCCTTATAGAGCCTCAGAAAAACATTTCTATCCTTGCTGTGTATATTTCCGAATAGGAAGTATACCATTCTGAGTGCTTCGTAAGTAATGTCATCTATGTGGCTAGAGAAGACAAGAGTGGGAGTATAGGTGGCCATTAGATCTTCTACAAAGGCTTCGAAGAACGGTGACTTTTTATCGATACTGGAACTCGTGACCACTTCCAAAATGCATTACAAAAGATTTCGATAAATTGACGGGCAACTCCCAATTACAGGACCACTTCAGCATTCTTTCTATGGATCTAGAAAGGGCAACAAGTACTTCACTGGAACTGTCCGGTTACACATGGCATATACTTTGATGTCATTGGCGCATATTAGGATCTTGACTGATGAGTGGGTTCTTAGTACTTTCGGAAGATCAAAGCAGTACACAAGGAAAAGATGGGAGAGAGTGCTCTGCCCTGCAGGACACTACTGAAACACAGGTAGGGTCAAGAAAACTAGTCCCCCTTTTTGACCCACATATGGCGATCCGACAAATAAGATGCAGGCCGATTCAATAAATTTCCACCAAGACCAACCATTTTTAACTTTTGGATGAGTCTCGAATGGTTTACTATGTCATATGCTTTAGAGAGATCAAAGAATATGACATCAACGAAACACTTGTTATCCAGAGCCGTAAGCTAGTCAAACGTACTATCCAGAAGCTGAGTAGTTGTTGAAGCGCCCTCTGAGAAACCATGCTGCTAATTGGGGATAAAGTGATGCCTATTAAGTCATTTATTTAAGTCTCTATCTAATAATCTTTTCCACGACTTGCACCGCTACTGGAGCAAAGCTGATGGGCCGTAAGTTGCTCAATAATCGAGTGTTAGGAATCTTGAGTATAGCGGTGACTAATGCTTCCTTCCACAAAGATGGAACTGATTTCATCAGCATAGAAACATTAAAGATCATGGTCAAAGGCTTGTATAGACCTTGAGCCCAACGTTTGCGCAGTATCTGAGGGATTCCATAGAACGTAGCAGAGTTCATAGATTTAAAACACAACAAATACTTCAATACATCAGTAGGCTCAGTAGCAATATGCTTCAGTGGATCAATAAAAGTCAGTGACTTATCAAAATTGACTAAATGAGTAGCGCTTGAAGGCATGAATACACTTGAGAATTGTCGAGCTAGAGCGTTCGCTTTTTGGAAGTCATTGCTAAAGATATTGCCAGACTCATTAGGGTAAAATTGCTTGTCCCTTGCTTTTCGTTCATAGGTAGTTGAAGAATGGTTCAGTTGAGGACCTGGTGTGAATATCGTTTGCGCTGAATATTCTTGGAAAGTGGATCACCAATCTGTGGAATTGAAGTAGCCGTTGCGAGCATCATAATTAGCTTTGCAAAAAATGAGCATAGGTAAAGTCAACATAGTATCGTAAGAAACATTGAGAGAAAAGCGCAATATTTCGTGATCTGAAGTGTGCAGAAGGGGCAGATGGCTTAATTCACTACAGATGTCAGGAAAGGTAAGAATGATATCCAATATAGTAGCATATTGTCGTGTAGGCTCATTAACAATCTGTTTCACATTGGTGCCTTTGAATAAATCAGCAAAACGAGCTGCATTCGATTTTTTCGGCCCACCCTGTTTTCAATCAATGTCTAAGTTAAAATCGCCGAGAATCATCAAATGAGCAGAAGACGCACGCATTGTAGCTAACAAATCTAACAGTATTCTTCGTCATTATAGCAAGAGTTGGCTGGTCTATGCACCAAGATGAATCGAATGTTCCTGACGGAAGCGTCGTCCAAATAATCAAAACAGAGATAAACAAACTCGGTAACTACAACGAAAAACTTCTGACTATAACAACCTCCTCTTCCAGATTGGCGATCAGACCTCATGATAGTGTAGGGAAAGCCACTGTCACTTTCGGAATCTTTAACATTTTCATTAAGCCCATTAAGCCATGTTTCAGTGATCAACACAAAGTCCGGTACCTGAAAAGATAGGAAGTGATGAAGACGATGTAATTTATTCGTGAGGTTCCATGCATTGAGATGAAAACATCTCACGCTTGCGGTTGGTTGATCGAAGTGCGATTTCCCGAATGTCTGAAATGAGGGTAGGGGGATTTGAGGAATTTTTTCAATTCACCTCGATAGACCACCCACACCTTTTGTCCCAAATCAATGTTTCGCTTTTTGGCTTCCTGGCGGAGCTCGAAGCCATGCTTTCTTTTTTTCAAGTGTCACGCTCTTACGTCCAAAGACGCCTGCGTAACTCGAAGAGCGCAGAAGACGAGCGTTTGATAAGGCCGTAATCCACTATGTTTTGAAAACCAACAAAACTTTGACTAAGCGTGGACGTAGCTCGCTAAACTTTCCCACTCAGTAGGTTTCAAGAGCCCTGCATTGTACCTTTAGAATGTCAAGCACGTCACACACCTTGTTTTCCAATTCTCTTTGTTTCTCGAACGGCTTCATGCTGGTACTCGACTCGGGCAACCCCGAAATTACGATGCTCCGGCCATGTTTTTCTTTACTCACTGCACCAAACACTTCAACAGAAAGTTTGCCTTTAAGTGCGATGAGCATCTTATTAATTACGGGATCAGTATTCCTAGCGGCGATAATTTTCAATAGGTCAGAAGCGCAAAAAGCCGAGAAGTCAGCTATCTCGAGACCATCATCATCTAAAACAGTATTTCCCATTTCACTGCAAGAAATCGATTGAGTTTTGGCTGGGTTACGAGCAGCACGAGGCATAACCGAGGTGGATGAAAAGCAAACAGAAAATACCTAGCTAGTTGATGCGTTCCTAGAGAGCACATGACCAACTAATCATTTGCGGTCAATGCAATGCACGGAATGGAATTGTGAAATGGGAAACGCTCAGCCCTGACGACTCTTGGGGAATGGGGCACTTCCTGGGGAGCTTTCAAGCACTCCGTGGATTCTTCAGAAATGGAAGATTTGTATAGGATGAATTACCTCCTCGACGGACTTCAGGGCGAGGCTAATGAAGCAGTAAAAAACTCAAGGTTTCTGGTCGCTTTTACATCCTCATCATCGCTCATTTGAAGGAAAAGTACGGAAACACGCAAACCCTAGTGAGCCACATGATACGCAGATTGCAAGAAGCTCGAGCACAAAGCGAACGGTTGGAGCATGAAGAGAATTTCTTGGGAGAACTGTCATCAATTGTATCTCAGCATCATCTCCTCTGAAAGTTCACAGAAATAGTGCAACGCCACGTCTTACGAATGAAGGAACAGTAGTCACCAAACGGCAATTGGGGCACTGAAGTGCTTCTTAGCTGTGCAAAAGATTGCATCAGGACGGAGCTCAAAATGGTGACCAGAATTGGAAAAGGCATGATCAAAGCCGACGAAAGAGTGCAGGAGACAGAAGGTACAATCGTATGCCGCTGAAAAGTGCCTCAGTTCCAATCGGCAAAACTGCTTCTATGTTGTAAAGACGATGATGCAGCAGAAGACTGCACCGAAGAGGCTACACGAGAAAAACGAATTATCTTCATGCGGAAACGAAATCTATATCTCAACTATCGCTCTACAGGGCATTGGGCAGTACAAACAAAGGCGGATCATGCAGAGTACGTAAGAATTGTGGTCAACACGCCTCTCTTTGCCAGAAACTCCCTTTTGCGACAAAGAGGCCATCTGCAGGCTACGAACCAAAAAACCACTTCAACATAAAGCCACTTTAAGGCGAGCTGTTCAGAAACAGCTGTACTCATCCAAGATGAACATTGTGGTATCGGAACCTCAACATACCTTCAATGATGTGCCAAACACAGATGCTTTCGTCAACCTTAAGCGAAGTGAAGCACGGGCTCACATTCTCGTTCGACAAACTCCAAACGCAAAAGAACAAGCTCCAGAGTCCATCCATGTACTGCTGGACACTCGAGCTTTATCTGTATCGAGTCGGCAAATCGCTTGCTTCTGGGAATAACAGTTCAACGAAGCTAACCATTACCACGTTCGACTATAGCAGCCGTTACACTAAACGTGCGGAATAACCCAACTGGAAATGTGGAAATCTCATGGAAAACCTCACAGAATAAAAGTCACGAAAATCTAGGCTGTAACATAACCAATACTGAGACGTAGCCTCAACGAAGACGGCAGACGGTTCTTGTGCGTTAACAACATACGCCTATCTATAAATGCAGATATTATGAAGATTCAACTCCAAGTGCTACTTGGATGTGCGGACCCACACCCATCCCCTGAAGGAGGCTTCGCAAGGCAGAAGACCCTGCCTCCTAGACTGACACTCATTCCTCCGAAGCCAGGATATCTCGTGTTTGGGTATGGATCACCTACAGAAAAGATTCTGCTAGAGCAATCTGCTGCTACGACGCTGAAGTCACAACGAAGTTCTGTCAAGTTTCCTTGAAGATGCGCAGACCAGGGAACAACTCTGCACATTTGAGTCAGCGGATACTCATTAGTTTACTGGGCAAGGTGTCGGAGAACGCAATAACTTGGACAGACAAGTTTGAAAGACATCCGAGCAGATTATCCAGAAAAGACAGGATACTATGTAAAGCTTAATCGGAAAGACAATGCTAGAGCACTTCTAGACAATAAAGCATTCACTCTACGAAGAATCTAGGCTACAGTTGCAAAGCTCACGAAGGAACCTGCTACCTTACAGCAATATAATTATACAATCGCAAGTCAGCACGAATAGGGAATTGTCGAAGAAGTGGACGATGGCAGCAAAGAAGAGTCAATCGTGCACCCTCTCGCTCATCATGCTATTCCCACTCTTCAGAAAGAGATCACTAAACTGAGAGTGGTTTGCGACGTCTCCACTCACGCGAAAGGAGAACTGTAGCTCACCGACGTTCTCTATCCAGGACCGGTAATACTGACCGAAAATCTGCGATATTCTGCTTTCGGCTTGTTCATTTTGCCTTTATTGATAATGTCAAAAAGCATTCCTCCAAGTCCACTCACACTCCGAAGATGGGGACGCCACAAGATTCACCTGGCTACGAGACATCAGCCAACTGCAAACTCCGGCCGAATGTTCACCTTTCTCTTAGTTGGGACAGTTAGGCACCACTTGGATGCACTGGAATATTCCAAACTCTTAGGTTGATGCACGACTATTGCGGATTTTCTCAGCAAATTTTACTTTAAGAAATGATAGTCATGTTTAGCAAAGACATGCTCAAATAACTGCTCCGGAACGTATCCACCATCTAAGTCAAGCACTGCTTCCCATATGCTAGACGGTCAGATTCCACAGGCAAAAACTTTCAATTCTTAGAGGCGATCACGCCTTGTCGTTGGCCATCAAGCCATTCACTTCGTCGATAGTCCTGTTCGTTAGCCAATTTTTCAACGGGCAATTGACGTGATAATGCACAGGAGTTTCTGTCCGTGAATAGGGCGACCGCAGAAGCAGATTCCATTCCTTGTTCGGTCTTTGCTGACTGACATCGCCAAGAAGTTCGTTGAGATCACGTTATGAGTGGGCCGCCTTCCAACATTTCTCAAAGTAATAGAGCATGACCATGCAGTCCACATGTGAACTGCAGTTGTATTTTTTGTTTTATTCATCCAAAACATCCACTTTCTTTCAATTCTTCTTCTCGAAACATTGCATCAGGCCTAACTGAAACTACATACAGCGTGGTCCTAGAAAATCATCGTACTTTGCAATTGTAAAGGTGTTTTTTTCGAAGGGGTGCATTACCTTGGTGAATTCTTCGTTAGTTGAACAACTTCGAAAAAAATGAGATATTTTGAAAATACGGTCGTCATTAGCATTTCCAAATGCAAAGCTCATAAAAATTTCCCGAAACGATTTCTGGTAATGATTAACCCATTGGCGACCGCGCCTTTTGTATTGTCCTTACATTAACTTTTAATTTCTATTATAATTGTTGTTGGAAGTGAATGATTAATGGACCACGATGCCTCAAGTTTCTTCAGAAGGTTGTGAGCTCAGCTGATAATTGAAAACATGAAAAAATCATAAGAACCCTCGATGGGGGACGGAACTTACGTGCGTCCGAAGATGCGCGCGGCAAGTTGCGCGGCGAAGTGCGTGGTGATTCAATCGATTTTGGCGCCTATCATTTTGGCCCAAATTCGAAGTGGAGTAGATTATTAGTATCAGCTGACCCTACTAAACTACTCTACTTCGAGTTTGGACCCCAATGATAGGCGCCAGAGTCGTTCGAATCACCACGCACTTCGCCGCGCAACTTGCCGCGCGCATCCTCGGACGCACGTAAGTACCCATACCCCCCTTGATAAATAATTTAAATATAAGAGGAGCACGATATGGTGTGACCCGCCGGCGGACCACGCGGTCGTCAATGGGTTAAGGAAAGCGAGAAGATTATCTCTACAAAAATCCCCAATTCAAAAGTTCAATTTCATCGAGAGAAAAGGAGCCGCGAAAAAATCCGCAACAGTTCTGCATCAACCTAATAGCAAGGGAAATAGCGAGCAACCACCTACGTGGACAGTATCACTGTAACGATGTCATCCGAAGATTAGCCATTGCAATTCTACATAAATTCAAAGCAGCTTTTCAACGAGTTCCGAATGAGTGTGCGAGAATCTCGTTCAAATGATTGAATCTCAACGCGCATTCGCCCCAGCAGACCCAAACAGTAACACCCTTCTAAAGGTCCTCGGTATAAATTGGCAATCCGAAAGCAATGAGCTCCTTCTAACATGTCACTGTAAGCCTGCTTTTGGAAGTTTGACAAAGAGGTCTATCTCGGAACAAGTAGCCTCTATCTGCGACCCATTAGACCCGCTCACACCTCTCACCCTTCAAGGAAAGCAATTTCTACAGCAGTTCTGATAATTCAACTACGGCTGGGACACTTCGCCGTCACACTTCCGTCGAACACCAACAAGAACGGCGGAACATTGTAGAAGTAGCAGAAGGTTTTGAGATTTCACCCATCGAGGACAATCCAACTATTGCGAAGTCAGAGTTCAACGCTGTCACCGTGGCGACGAGGCTAGCATATTCGATTCATGTGGCAATCGGTCATCGGGTCAAAAATTAGCAACTATGCGTTTTCTTCGACTCAGAGGTAGCTCTTGGCTGGATCAAATCACTGCCTTCGGAACAGTCGGTCGGAATTCTTTAAAGAAACAGAGTTGCTGGAATGAGAAGGATTTGCCACGAATTCCTCACCACAGTTCTGTTCGGATATGTGAACACAACCAGCGGCCCATCAGACTGTGGAACAAGAGGTTTCACTAAAATAGAGTTTCTAGAGCACATGTCGTGGGAAGAACTAGAGTTTCTGAGACGTCCGTCAAGCCGTCGAAGGAATGTCGAATGCTCGCCCTACCAGTTGAATATGCTCGGTCACAATAGCTACAAAATTCTGGATAGACTCAACACAATCATCTGCCTTCCGCAAAGAGAACTTTGGCGTACGTGCTGCGCTTCATTTACCGACTATCGCTAGAGGTGAATGCAAACGTGAGGAATCGTCTCAGAGAGGGCGTTCCGGAACTCCGCCAAATGTCAGCTGAATCATTCAACACAGCCAAAGGAAATGATGTGGTTCAACGGGTGCTCATTCGTCATCACCAGAACATCCATCTCACGGAAGCAAAGTTGAAGATTTTGAAGCAACTAAGTATACGACGAGATGAAGTTGGAATTTTACGATGCCATGGTCGTTAAGGGAATACGCATATGGCTTTCGACAATAAGCATCCGATGTTACTTGCTACGAAGACGAATCTCGCGGAAACAGTCGTGGAGGATGCGCATTTTTCTAACCCTTCGACACAGCGGAGACGATTGCTAACATCAGACAACGCTTTCAGATCCCGAATATACGGAAACTGGTGAAACAAGTCTTACAATTATGTAGTCCTTGCCATGGACTGAACAGCTTTCCGTTTGGATATCGGGAATGGACGACCTTCCAGAACGGCGAGTACAGCGAATCCGCCCCTTTATACATGTCGGAACAGACTATTCTGGGCCGATACAGCCGAGTAAAACGATGCGCACACTAAGGTAAACTTAAGAACTATCACGTGTATCGCGGTCACGTGTCTGTTACACCTCGAGCTCGTGCCATATCAGATGCTTGATGCATTACGCATGTTTTTGCAATGAGGGGTATTCTCACAAGTATAACGTCGAACAACGGCCCATCGATTCTATTGAGCGGCCAGATTTTCCACAATGCAGTCCTTCCCCTGATGAATGATGCCTCAGTTGCAGGTACAATGGCAGCGGAAGGGATTGCTTGGAGGACAATTACACCGTATGCTCCGTGGCAGGGAGTGTCTGTTCGCTCAACAGAAACGATGTGCCGTTGTTCGACGTTATACTTGTGGGTACCCCTCCTTGCAAAAAACTTGTGTAGTGCATTAAGCAGCTGATTTGTTGAAAGGCGGGTACGAACTCGAGGTATAACCCGTGAACCCCTCTATACAAAAACATGCAACGTGAAGTAGTGTCTGTGGTAACACTGGAAACTCTCTTGGTCGAAGTGGAAAGATACCTCAGTAATCGACTTCCAACGTACCAGGAAGAGAAATGGGAGGACACTACACTTCTTCGTTCAATAGACTTTATTCAGAGGAATATGGTTGCATTATATCCATTGGAATCATTTACGTTCATTCTGGAGGTGACATTTCCCACCCTCTGAAAGACAGGATGCACAACTAAGCCGAAGAAGACCTCAAATTCAGCCATCATATGACAGAGGGGTTCTGGAAAGTATTGAGCCAATAATATTGACCTCAGCAATCTCTGAGAAGCTCATAAGGTGTCAATGGACAATAGACGCAGCTCATTTATATATCCTTCCCCTGCCTAGGCCGATTGTCTCGATAATCGACTCTACTCTTCTGAGAAAGTTGAGGAAGCCAGTAAGGATTATTAGCCCACCCAGTCCCAACAGCGAGAAGATCAGGGGAGCGCAGTTGAAATTATCA